TTTCAGTCTCAAATCAACTTCACTATGCTGATTTCTGTAACCATAGTACCTTAAAAATATAAAAAATTTAAATTGAATAAAGAAAAGTATGAATGCAAAATTACCTATTGTAGTTTCCATATTGAAAAGCCCGATCTTTCCCTTTAAATTGTGGTAATTTGACATCTTTATTATTTTGTCCCCGATGCTGCATGTTTCGAGTTAAATTGCTTATTCTACTGTTACTTCGTTTCAACCAGGAGCCTGGCTGTGGAACGACAGGACTAACAATTTTATCCATCGCATTGTACTTTGTTTTCTTAACATTATCCTTATCTATATACTTAATAGCAATTAGGAAGCGTAGGTCAGAGATACCTGTGGTCATATTATATCAAAGGTATCAAAATTCAACGCGTACGTAACTAAATTGAACTCTGTTTCTGGTTAAAGACATTTATTCGTTATTTATTAACTTGAAAATGATGATTTAATATATGTAAGCCAAAGGCTCACAATAGGGGGCTTTCACAAGTGCAAGCGATAATTAAAAAAACTACTTGAAGTGTAATTTTTTCACTTATCATTCATGAATTATTTTAATTTATATTTTTACTTTAAGAAACTCGGTTAAAACCACATTATATGTATATAGTGTGCTTAAAAGTGAAACCACATTTAAGCAAAATAAAACACCTACACAAACGTGACAAATATAATGAAAATTTTAATACTTAAACAATCTTACATTACTTTATGCCTAAATGTAACTTAAATAGTACATTTTTATTTTCAGTATATACAAAAAAAAAACGAGTGTATATACAAAACAAAATGTTAAGTAACATCGGAAAGTTTTAAGTCTCATCTAACACTCGTAAATTAATGTCACATTTGTTCACTTCAATGCTGATCTTTATTTTTTCGTCACCTTCAATAGCACTGCTAGTATCATATACAAAAGGAGACGACGAATTTTCTGGTTTCTCGAAATCGGCAATGTTAGATTTCGGCGTCAAGTTATTCGATTCGACAGACCTTATGTTGGTATAAAGTTTCGTGCTGGAATAATGGCAGCTCATGGAACCGTCTGATCTTTCACTGGGAAACATTGTGCTTTTGGTAAACATCTGAATTGGACGCTGAAAACCTCTTGCTTGATGTTGAGGAAAGCCCAAAATCTCACTTTTGGCAAAACCAACTTCTGGTGACAGTAAATATTGCGTGAAGTTTTCAGGAAAGAATTGGATCGAGTTGTAATTGTTGTATATGGTTTCCTGCAATTAAAACACAAATACCAATTAAAATAATATTAGACTGTGACAGATCAAGTTAAACAAAACTTAAAAAAAAAAACAATAGAAAATGCATACCGTAAGCTTCTTTTTAGACTTATAGCTAGCCCAATTTTGCGGTTCTAGAATGAGTTTCCCACCCGGCCTAAGTTGAGCGTACATCCTTCGAAAGGCCTGTTTTAAACCGGAATCGCCCCAATTTAAGTGTATCCATTTAGTAATGCTCAAACATAAAATTATGTCGAATTGGGGTTGTTCCAAAGATAAGAGTGAGTCGTCGTCCAAAACGTAATTACCCTAAAAAACATTTAAATTAAATTTAAATAAAAGTGAATGCTAACCAAAGTAAATAACTTACATGTTTGAATGTTACATTATTAGGAAATCCGTAGCCTTTTTCCTCCTTCGTAAAGCCTGGAATATCAATAGGCCCATATAATATAGGCATGGAAATGGGAAAAAACTCACTACTTTTTGAATATCCTTCGCCAGACTCTTTGCCGTCATCTGGCGGCGTTTGAGAACTTTTCACGTAGTGTTTAACGTTTTTACGTGCTATCTCAATCAACTTCTTATCAATGTCAATGCCAATGACACTCTTGGACTTTAAATCTCTGGCTACTGAAAGTGTTATGTGCCCTATATTACAACCAATATCTAAAATATCTTTTCCTTCAAATAAATCATGATGATACATGAAACATTTCAGTCTCAAATCAACTTCACTATGCTGATTTCTGTAACCATAGTACCTTAAAAATATAAAAAATTTAAATTGAATAAAGAAAAGTATGAATGCAAAATTACCTATTGTAGTTTCCATATTGAAAAGCCCGATCTTTCCCTTTAAATTGTGGTAATTTGACATCTTTATTATTTTGTCCCCGATGCTGCATGTTTCGAGTTAAATTGCTTATTCTACTGTTACTTCGTTTCAACCAGGAGCCTGGCTGTGGAACGACAGGACTAACAATTTTATCCATCGCATTGTACTTTGTTTTCTTAACATTATCCTTATCTATATACTTAATAGCAATTAGGAAGCGTAGGTCAGAGATACCTGTGGTCATATTATATCAAAGGTATCAAAATTCAACGCGTACGTAACTAAATTGAACTCTGTTTCTGGTTAAAGACATTTATTCGTTATTTATTAACTTGAAAATGATGATTTAATATATGTAAGCCAAAGGCTCACAATAGGGGGCTTTCACAAGTGCAAGCGATAATTAAAAAAACTACTTGAAGTGTAATTTTTTCACTTATCATTCATGAATTATTTTAATTTATATTTTTACTTTAAGAAACTCGGTTAAAACCACATTATATGTATATAGTGTGCTTAAAAGTGAAACCACATTTAAGCAAAATAAAACACCTACACAAACGTGACAAATATAATGAAAATTTTAATACTTAAACAATCTTACATTACTTTATGCCTAAATGTAACTTAAATAGTACATTTTTATTTTCAGTATATACAAAAAAAAAACGAGTGTATATACAAAACAAAATGTTAAGTAACATCGGAAAGTTTTAAGTCTCATCTAACACTCGTAAATTAATGTCACATTTGTTCACTTCAATGCTGATCTTTATTTTTTCGTCACCTTCAATAGCACTGCTAGTATCATATACAAAAGGAGACGACGAATTTTCTGGTTTCTCGAAATCGGCAATGTTAGATTTCGGCGTCAAGTTATTCGATTCGACAGACCTTATGTTGGTATAAAGTTTCGTGCTGGAATAATGGCAGCTCATGGAACCGTCTGATCTTTCACTGGGAAACATTGTGCTTTTGGTAAACATCTGAATTGGACGCTGAAAACCTCTTGCTTGATGTTGAGGAAAGCCCAAAATCTCACTTTTGGCAAAACCAACTTCTGGTGACAGTAAATATTGCGTGAAGTTTTCAGGAAAGAATTGGATCGAGTTGTAATTGTTGTATATGGTTTCCTGCAATTAAAACACAAATACCAATTAAAATAATATTAGACTGTGACAGATCAAGTTAAACAAAACTTAAAAAAAAAAACAATAGAAAATGCATACCGTAAGCTTCTTTTTAGACTTATAGCTAGCCCAATTTTGCGGTTCTAGAATGAGTTTCCCACCCGGCCTAAGTTGAGCGTACATCCTTCGAAAGGCCTGTTTTAAACCGGAATCGCCCCAATTTAAGTGTATCCATTTAGTAATGCTCAAACATAAAATTATGTCGAATTGGGGTTGTTCCAAAGATAAGAGTGAGTCGTCGTCCAAAACGTAATTACCCTAAAAAACATTTAAATTAAATTTAAATAAAAGTGAATGCTAACCAAAGTAAATAACTTACATGTTTGAATGTTACATTATTAGGAAATCCGTAGCCTTTTTCCTCCTTCGTAAAGCCTGGAATATCAATAGGCCCATATAATATAGGCATGGAAATGGGAAAAAACTCACTACTTTTTGAATATCCTTCGCCAGACTCTTTGCCGTCATCTGGCGGCGTTTGAGAACTTTTCACGTAGTGTTTAACGTTTTTACGTGCTATCTCAATCAACTTCTTATCAATGTCAATGCCAATGACACTCTTGGACTTTAAATCTCTGGCTACTGAAAGTGTTATGTGCCCTATATTACAACCAATATCTAAAATATCTTTTCCTTCAAATAAATCATGATGATACATGAAACATTTCAGTCTCAAATCAACTTCACTATGCTGATTTCTGTAACCATAGTACCTTAAAAATATAAAAAATTTAAATTGAATAAAGAAAAGTATGAATGCAAAATTACCTATTGTAGTTTCCATATTGAAAAGCCCGATCTTTCCCTTTAAATTGTGGTAATTTGACATCTTTATTATTTTGTCCCCGATGCTGCATGTTTCGAGTTAAATTGCTTATTCTACTGTTACTTCGTTTCAACCAGGAGCCTGGCTGTGGAACGACAGGACTAACAATTTTATCCATCGCATTGTACTTTGTTTTCTTAACATTATCCTTATGATCTTCTGATTTTCTTTTACATTTATTGTCTTTTTTCGTTAGTTGTAATTCGAGATTAACGGACTTTTGTTCGACTTTACTATCACTACATTCTTCTGGGATTTTAGCTGAATCCTGATTACTTTCAGGAGTTTTAGCTTCAGAACAGCCACTTGTATCAGCATCAGCAACTTCTGATGTTCCAGAAGTTGTTCTCTTTTTTCTAGTACGCTTTTTGCGCCCTTTTTTTAAAGGTGAACATAATTGTTGCTCATACTCGTCATCGTTTTCACAATTAATGAGATTCAAAGGATCGTTTATGTTAGGAGGGATTATTACCTCTATTTGAGCTTTTCGTCGTGGCGGGGTAGGAATAGGTGAAGACTTCGGAGTGACCGCGTTCATAGCCCTATTAACTTCCTCATCTTGTAAACTATTCAAATTTAGAGGATCGTTTATATTACCACCGAGTAAAAATCGAGTAGGTAAAACTGGTCTCATACTTTTTAGTTTATTTATATTTGAATTTGATGAAAAACTTTTAAGTCGTTTTCTACCACTTTTAACATTTTTTTGTTTCTTTTTCGAAGTATCAGTATCTTTACGATGATTTTTAAATGATTTCTGATTTGAATTATGCTCAAAAGTTTGAGCCTGGACTTGAGAAGACATTATTCTCGCTGACCTATTAAAATTAATGTGTAATTATATAAAAATAATTACCAAAATTAAATATAATTTTTTAATTCGTTAGTTTGATATAGAGTAATCAGTAAAAGTAAGTGATTTAAAATTAGGTTATGACAGATTTATAAACAGATTTCACTTTTTCCAAAATTTAAACTGTATAGCCGTCTTTTTAATTTCTTTTACAAACTAAATAAGAAAAAAATAAAAAAATCTAAAATTCTCTCCCGCACTTCACTTGCACATGCGCATTTTAGTACAACACGTTCAAGCAGGGTAGAAGCCATCGCCGTTGTTAAATTTTGATTAAATGTTAATTTAAGTATAAACGATCAAAATTTATACTTACAAAAGTATTCACTTCTAATTGCTATCAAATTTGCCAACTTTTGAGAACACTTACACAAAATGTCCACATAACTTATTGGTAAATACCGCACGAACTTCTCCTTTTGACGATCAGAAGACGAATCATTCCAATAATGAACTCCAACGAGTCCGCCATTTTTATCGGTTTTTACAAACATGAGCCGTACTACTCACGAAATCACACGAATTCTCTCGAACTGTTGAAAGCATTTTAAATATGGAAATATCAAGAAATACTAATTTTGAATATTAGATATAAAAAGCATTTACAAGACCTTAGTATGGTATGCAAAAGACGATTTGCAATACATTTAATCCTAACTTTTGAAAATGCGTTTTAACTATTGGTTAGTTACGGTGCATTAATACATATTATTGTTCAATTACGAGAATGAATAGTAAAACATAAATTATAATTAGAGGTAGGTATGTGTTATTAAGCACTAGTATTATATCTAATGTTGTTTTATTTAATATTTTTAAAATAAATAATTTTTAAAAACTTTGACGTAGTAGTGACCTCTATTGAGCAAGAGAAAAAAATAGAAAATACAGTCATATATTATCTATGACCGTCCACAGAAGCTGACAGAAGCATACGTGTCATAGATTAAATGTACACATAGACAATTATGTATTACAGTCATATTTGTAGGTTATATGTTCTTGTTTTATGGAGGTTATTGTTTTTTAAGAAACCTCGTGGTATATTATGAATTTGAATTTGTATTTACCTAGATAAACCTTCGGTTTTACAAGATGGTAAGTTAATTTTATTCTGTAAAAAAGAATTAATCTTTGTTCTGTATTTTGTAGTCGAATAACTTATACGTGCTTTTTGAACATGCGGCTGGGTACGCTATCTTTCAAGTTAAAGAATTTGAAGAAATTGGCATGTTTCTTCCCCAAGTTGAGGCCTCCGTTACAGACCTAAGTAGATTCAATAGCGTTGTAAAATTGATTGGCTTTTCACCTTTTAAAACAGCTGTTGCTGCACTGGAAAATATCAATGCTATATCAGAAGGCATCTTGACAGAAGACTTGCAGCATTTTTTAGATATAACGATACCTAAAGGTGGGAAGAAGAGCAAACCTACTGTCGGAGTTAGTGATCCCAAATTAGGAGCTGCAATTGCAGAATCGTTAGGATTAACCTGCATGCACATCGGAGTTGTGCCAGAAATAATCAGGGGTAATGTATATACATCCCAAAAGCTATCTTTTATCTTATTTTTATATGTTTTTTAGGAATCAGACATCATTTCCACAAGTTAGTCAAAGGATTTAGTGCAAAAAATTCAGCTGTTGCACAGCTTGGTTTAGGACATTCATATTCCAGAGCCAAGGTTAAATTTAATGTTCATCGTGTTGACAATATGATTATTCAGTCAATAGCATTATTGGATCAATTAGATAAAGACATAAACACTTTCTCAATGAGGATAAGGTAAATGCTACCTTTTTAATGTTGAATCACTTCACAACATATATCTGTTCTAGGGAATGGTATTCTTATCATTTTCCAGAGCTTGTAAAGGTTGTCCCTGAAAACTACACTTATGCAAAACTTGTGTCATTTATTAAAAATAGAAAAGAGCTTTCAGAAGAATCACTTGAAAGTTTAGAAGAAATTGTAATGGATTCAGCTAAAGCACAGGCAATCTTAGATGCTTCAAGATCCAGCATGGGCATGGATATAAGCATACTTGATCTGATGAATATTGAAATGTTTGCCAAACGTGTTATTAATCTTGCTGATTATCGCAAAGAGTTGGCAGAATATTTGAAAACTAAAATGAGTGATGTTGCTCCAAATCTAGCCACTTTAATTGGAGAACAGGTTGGAGCTAGATTAATTGCCCATGCTGGTTCTCTGACTAATTTGGCAAAGTATCCTGCATCTACTGTCCAGATATTGGGAGCAGAAAAGGCTCTTTTTAGAGCACTAAAAACAAGAGGTAATTATAATTTACAAAATCAAATTTTTGTATTAGCATTTTTATATTTTAGGAAATACTCCAAAGTATGGTCTTCTTTTTAATTCTACATTTATTGGAAGAGCTGGATTGAAAAACAAAGGTAGAATTTCACGTTATCTCGCTAATAAGTGTTCAATTGCATCTCGTATTGATTGTTTTACCGATATCCAAACGAACGTTTTTGGGGAGAAATTACGCCAACAAGTCGAAGATCGCCTAAAGTTTTACGAAACAGGGGAAATACCGAAAAAAAATATCGAAGTCATGAAGGAAGCATTAGAAGAAATGGAAAGAGTCCAAGATGCTGCTTCAAAGGCTGAAAAAAAGAAAAAGAAGAAAAAAAAGCGAAAGGTTGAAAATGGAGAAACTTTTGATCAAAATGGAACAATTGATGAAAATGAAGTAACAGGTGAACCTCCTAAAAAGAAGAAAAAGAAGAAGAAACAATTAGAAGAAGAAGCAGATTAGTATTTGTAAGTATATTATATGTCATTGCAATTTTTGCGAGCTATTTTTTCTATCATTAGTTTTTAATGTTTAATTTAATTGTACCTTAAAATTAATTTTCAAAAAAATATATAAAATTTTAGCGTTGTTTAGGATTTTAAATACATTTTTAATAATTAGTGCTTGTTGAGGACAAAAAGAATATAGAAGTAGTTTCCTAATTGTTTTTTTTTGTAACTATTAAATTCACTATTTCCTTAATAAAACATTTTTAAAGGAATATTTCTTTATTTGTTACTTTTTTATAACTTACTTTAAAACATAAGCACGGTTTGACAAGTTTATCTTTAAGATTACAAGATTTACAACTGGAATGTATGAAATTATTTCAACTATTAAATGAAGCATTTTTTTAGTTTATGTACTTGATATTTTTTGCTGGTAAAGTATAAGGCACATTACACAGTTCTCGTCATCCATTTCCTTTCGGAAACAAAAAACCAATTTCATATTTTCTATCGAAAATATGACGGGAACGTATCTCATTTATATTTCGTAGGGTAATAACTAAATTAAAACTTCGGAAATTGTACGTAAGACATAGATAAAAAAGTAAGTGCTTAGAAACGATAAAAGAATTGTAAACATTTTTAAGCAACACAATCACAATAAACTATTTGCACTAATTTTAAATATTTTCATAATATATTAACATAGCAATATAGAATCCCAGCACCGCATGTGAGCATNCTGTACTAGAGGGTCCTCGTTTATAACGCCAATGGAAAAATAAAAAAACAATATAAATTGTTATTATTTTCAGCTGGTGATTTAATAGCAATTGCTTCACAAAATGGTAGTATCTACCTCTTTAGAGTAAGTAGAGACGGCTTTTCATACAAAAAATCGAACAAAATTCGTGGATCTCAGCCCCTAATGCAGCTAGACTGGAGTTCAGATAGTAATTACCTACAAACTGTCACAGCCGATTACGACTTAGCTTTTTGTAAGTAACAATTAAATCATGATTAAAATACGGAATAAAAAATGAAATGTACATCTTGGTTAAGAATAAGGGATAGGAATTAAATTGATAAAGTATTTGAATTTAGATTTTAAAATAGATATAGTATCCGCCCATTAACGTGACATAAAAGCAATAAAAGTAAGACGGCTGATAGACACTCACAATGAGAATGAAAAAGGAAATAGTGACAGTCAACACCGGTTAGTGATAATAATTATATAAATAACACAGTCATTACAAAGAATTTCGTCGTTCAGATACTGTCACCGTTTCCAGCACAATTGAATTTATACATAATTACTGCTGAAACTTCTTGGGCAGAAGGGACGGTTCAGGGGTGAATAAAGGTCTACAGCTCACGATAAAGGTGACTTTAGTTTTATTGCTTTTTTGCCATTAGGGGCGAGATTAATATTTGTCTTAAAGAATTGCCTGTAATTCCTTGACGAATCGTTACTATAGGTACGTCCTCGGAGTATTTTCTATTGAAGATGGATTACTGAAACCCTAATCTTTCAAGATAACAATTTTAATCAGTTTAATAATTATGATATTATCTTCTCTTTTAGGGGATATCAAATCTTTATCTCCAGAAAAAAGTCCTATTGCCATGAAAGATGTAAAATGGCACACACACAATTCCTGTGTAGGATATTTGATCTCAGGTAAAACTTGATTTTTATATTGATTATTCAAAAATATTTGCCCGAAATAAAAGAAAAAAGGGTTTTATTTTAAAAATTATTCCGCAATCGAATGCTACAATTCAATGTACTCCCCTCCTCTCTCCACACACCGCTCCATTCGTTTTTCCATTGGTCAAGGCAAAGCTGGAAGTCTTCTTTTGTAAGAGCATTTAGGAGCTCTGCCGATTTTCGCTTCACCTCTTCTATAGACTCGAACCGGGTAACTTTTAAGGCAGACTTGATTTTCGAAAATAAGAAAAAGTAACAGGGTGCTAAATCAGGTGAGTATGGCGCATGTTCGAGCACTGGAGCGCCTCTATGGACAGGTGCGTTCTCCTAGTGCAAGATCCACGATTTATTTTTCCACAACTTCAAATAGTAAGTTTGCTTCACAGGTTGACCTTCTGGAACCCATATTGTCATCCCGATATCCTTGCTTTTTTTGTTCTTGACAGTGCAGGAGTTTTCCAGTGCATGGATTGCCGCTTAGTTTAAACAACTTATAGGAATATCTAGGTTTCATCGAAAATGATGATGTTTTCCATCCATTCAAGCTCTTTATCTAATCTCTCAAGAAAAGTTCTGTAGATCTGTTGACAGAGAAGCTTTTGGTCGGGGATCAAATTTCGCACAGACTTTCTTCATGTTCAATTCGTCATGTAAAATATTTCTTTCCGTTTCTTTATCGGCGTTTGAAACAGACACAGATCGACCTGGACGTTGGTCATTTTCGGTACTCTCTCGACCTTCAGAAAAGCTTTTACATCATTCGAAAACAATAGAGAATAATAGAAAATTTTCACTATAGGCCTGTTTCAACAATTTATAGGACTCAGCCCGAGTTTTTGTTTTTTATTTAACGAGAAATTTCACATTAATCCGTTGCTCGTGTTTTTCGTCGCACATTGTTATCGACTCGAGAAAAAAGTACGTTGGCTTCTAACCTCTAACTGCAGCTACAAAAACGTGTTTTCGCACTGGAATACAAGACACTTCCAGCTATCCAACGCTGCATTCATTTCCCTCTAGGGCCTTCTGCCCGCGCAGTCTTGTTATTTAATAGCCAGACCTCGTATGATCCAGTTCTGAAAAATAATGAAACACGTGGATTTTACTCTTTGTGAAAATGGTACTTAGAATAGTCGCATGCAATTAGCAGCTGTTGTTGTTAGTCCGTTCACTTAATGAAAGGTATATGATACCAGATCGATGTGGGCGGACTGCCCTAATGGGTGTAACTGCTAGAAGTTAGTTACGGCTCCAGGGGCTTACAGTTGAGCTTTGATTGGAAAAAAGCTAAAAAGACGCAACCAACTTTAATAATACGTTACTGGATTTACATCTGACGGTAAACGACCTGTCATCGCTTTTGCCTACATATTCGTTTATGTGTATCGTTTACGGTGTACCTTTCTCCAAGTGAACGTACGATAACAGGTACTGAGATGTGCTTATGACAATTTGAAATTAAACTAAATAAAATGTTGATTGGCCCTCGCCTGATGAGTTACAAAATTGAAAATTTCTCTTTATTACTATTAATTATTACCTATGTGTAAATTTTAGGCGTCTGGAGTAATCGATTTTATCCTATGACTTCAATAATTAGTACGACAAATCGTTCAGCAGCCCATGATCTCTTGATTGCTGGAGATATGGACGGCTACCTACGACTTTTCAGATACCCTTGTATAAGTCCAAAAGCCGAATATCAGGAAGAAAAGGTTTACAGGTAAATGAAAATTATTTAATTAAAACAGCAGGCTACAGTTACATAGGTGCACACTGAAAATCCTTATTTCAGTGGACAAATCGCTTGCGTAAGGTTTCTCTTCAATGATCGAAACATCGTGACCGTTGGCGGAACCGATGCGGGCCTTATACTTTGGGAATTATTGGAAGAATAGCAAATAAAACCGAAAACGATTGTAGCTGGTGATAATACAAATTTTTTCGATCTACAGTTCGAAGAATCAGATGAATCGGATTTTGAAGACGACGATTTTAAACCCGCGTTCGAAGTATTAAGCGTTACATTTGAATAAAAAAAATAATAGGTGCATGAAAGTAACCAGTATACGTAAAAATATTTACAGAAACAACATAGGGAAACATATCTTTAAGCCATGAATTTAATAATCTCATTTTAATTTCTACAATGAACAATTCCGTTAAAAAATATGTATATTATTCTTCAAATAAGAACAAATTGACTTAAGGATCTAAAGGATTTCTGTGAATTAAACGAAACCTTGAAACTTATACCTTGATTAGTAATGTAATTTATTTTATCAACACAACACTTTTTTCAAATCATTAACAAGATGAGGATCGTTTTTGACTAATGCTGAACTCAATATAAAATTCTTCTAGAGAAGTCATTTGTGGTTTCTTACGCTAGACTCATAATACTTCCACGTACAAGTAAAATAACAAAAAATTTTCATAAATCGCAAACTAAACTGAAGGAGTTTTTTGGCGGTTTATTTTTTTAGGATTTATTATTTTATGGAAATAAAAGAAAATGGCAGCTTCAAAACTTAGATGTCAAGATACTCAAAACATAGTTATAAATCGCCAAAAAATGCTTTCAGGCTTATGTTTGCGAGAATTTTACTTGTACATGAACAATTTTCAAAAGCTATGGTTTCATTGAATAGATAGTGCCGCAAAAGAGCGGCCGTTATGTGGCGTTACCAACATTTCGGCCATTACAGCGTTGGTCACAGACTTAAAGTAATTAGACTCGCGTTAGAAAGCAAAAACTACATATCTTGCATTATGGTAAAAAGTACTTAATTTTCCAATATTTTGTCTGGACCAAGAACGGTCTTTATGAGCCCAGATTAAGTTTTATTTCAAAAATGGCTTCGTAATGTGCAATATACGAATTATTTCAAATAAAAAATCCGCCTCATGAAGAGTGAGAGGAACTTTAGAATTATTATAGTTTGTAAACTGTAGCATAATTTTACATATCAATTTCTTCTATTGTATACTTTATTTATATGTAACCCGGAAAGTTCCACTCCATGAAAACATTAAGAAGGACGCATTTTATCTTCATTTTCATTGAAAATAGAGTCATTAAACGCATTTATTAGATTTACTTGTTAAGTCTGCTGGTCAGATTAAACAACAAGGAAAAATTCAGTTACGTACAATTTAACTTCCGCCCTCACCGTATACCACTAAGTTGTACATTCCTATGGCTAATTTTAAACAATCAATGATAATAGTAAAACTAGAAATATTTTATTACAACTATTTATACAAATATGTAGGTATTAAAAACTATTAAGATAAATAACAGCTACAAGGCACGCTTTTCTACCATCACCACACTGACATCAGATTTTAGAATCATGCGCAATCAGGTTTATTATATCAATTGAGAATAAGTACCTAACACTTAATTTCTCACTCATATTAATACCATTAGTTAAGTTTAAGAAAGACACTCCCTAATTTTACACCTTAAAACATAAAAAGTAAAATTTAAGTAGTTAAAGACTGTAAATGCCAATAATGGTAAAAGCAACAATAAAATAAACCTCCTTTTACTTAATTATATGTATAGGTACCTACTATTAAATTAAACTGCTAATTTCTTTCATTGAATAGACGCTTCTTTATCCAACGCCTAATAGGTACATATAAATGTTATGTCAAACCATTACAAAAGTATTAAAATAAAAAACCAATCCAAATGCACTTTCTTCACTAATAATGGGAAGTATAGGTAACCAAGTTCGTGTTTTTTTTTCTTGCAGTAAAGATTAATTATTATTATTTTGATTTTTAATTACTAATTACTTATGCATCGTATTGAAAAATTAAAAGTAAATGTGCTTCACACAAAATAAGATGGTATATAAATACTTACAGTTTTTTTAAAAGATTTTTAGAACACCTTACATTTATTTAAGAGCATTTAAAAGTTCACTGCATTTAACTTTGTCTTTGTCCTAACTAATAATATGATAAAAAACTCGAAACACTAAAAATTCTTTCTAGCAAAATAAGCAGTTTACACTTTCTTAAGAAAGAAATCATTAAAAACTTATTATTGGGGAGAACAAAAAAAAAGAAGTAGGTAAACATAAGTTTCTAATCCTATATATACTTACACTGGTTCCTTGAGAAAGTAAATGCTTTGAAACTACTTTTCGTAAATATATATATATATATAAAGGGGTTAACACGTTTTAAGGTGTAGATATTCTAAGATGAGATTTTATAGTATAAATTTGTTCTTTCTTTCTTGTTACACATGCATATACCAATATAGGTATATATTATAGGTACGTAAAACAGTTTTCTACAGCTCAAGGAACTATTAAAAGGTTTCTATTAGAATAGATAAAAAAAGTTGTAGTGCCTATGCTAGTACCTATTTATATAAAAAAAAACGCACAGGACATTTCAACTTTAAAAATATATGTTATAGAACTAAGTCATATATTATTAAAACTGCCAACAGTTCTTCGACTTTTAATACAATTTCATTCCATTTTTGCTTTGTATAGAGGTTAAAACAAAACATTTTGAATAAAATTTTTGTAGAATTTAACTTTGTTTTTATACCAATTTTACATTTATGTATGTTCTTGAGACAAAATTTGAAATAGAAATTTATTTTTTAAATAAATATAGGTTTAATAACACTTGGCCATTAACTGGTCATCAATTTCTAATTTATTTGAAAATCGATTATAAAGTAACTTGTACAAACAACTACACATAACTGATAATGCTTTGTTACCTGCGTACCTATGGAGGTATAATGATGTTTTCAAAGTGCTAATTTTTTACGATACAGCGTACTTAATTCTAATCCTAATTTTATGATTGACAATGAGAAGGCTGGACTCCAGTAGTCTACATCCTCTAAAATCGATACTGAATTTCTGCCTATTCAAATGCCAATAACAAAAAAGGTTCCTACTCATGTAATAAAGTGAATATAAAGTAATTATTTTGTTCTATAAGAAATAGGGAATATCCTGGTTAGCTGACGATAGGTGGGCTCTTAGTACTAGCATATATATTTTAAAATACTTTAATTTCGTTATCTATATACTTAATAGCAATTAGGAAGCGTAGGTCAGAGATACCTGTGGTCATATTATATCAAAGGTATCAAAATTCAACGCGTACGTAACTAAATTGAACTCTGTTTCTGGTTAAAGACATTTATTCGTTATTTATTAACTTGAAAATGATGATTTAATATATGTAAGCCAAAGGCTCACA